TCGGACTTGCCGGAGAGACGAAAATCGTCGCGAAACGCAGAACTGTCGTCACTTTTGGACTCGTCTCGGGTCTTCGCGTCTCAAAAGTGTCAACCGTCACAGGGATCGGGGGGTCGTGGTCGCGAAACGCAGAACTGTCGTCACTTTTGGCTTCTTCTCGGGTCTTCGCGGCTCAAAAGTGTCAACCGTCACAGGGATCGGGGGGGTCGTGGTCGCGAAACGCAGAACTGTCGTCACTTTTGGACTCTTCTCGGGTCTTCGCGTCTCAAAAGTGTCAACCGTCACAGGGATCCGGGGGGTCGTGGTCGCGAAACGCAGAACTGTCGTCACTTTTGCCCTTGCCTCTGGAGAGAGGAGAGGAGAGAGGAGAGAGGAGAAAAGAGAGATGAGAGGAGAGAACAGAGGACAGAGGAGAGAAGAGAGACGAGAGAGTGAGTGACGAAAGGAGAGAGAAGAGAGACGAGACAAGAGAGGAGAGAAGAGAGGAGAGAGAAGAGAAGAGAAGAGAGAGGAGAGAGGAGAGGGGAGAGGAGAGAAGTGAGAGCGGAGAGAAGAGAAAGGAGAGGAGAGGGGATAGAAGAGAGAGGAGAGCAGAGAGGAGAGAGTAGAAAGAGAGAAGAGAGAAGAGAGAAGAGAGAAGAGAGAAGAGAGAGAGAGAGGAGAGAGCAGAGAAAAAAGAAAGGGAGGAGAGATTCCCGGACCTAAGTTTCCTGATTGGTGTCGCGCGTTGGGTGTAGTTATTATCTTTGCGATGTACGTGTCACGTGTCTGGTGCTGTTTCCTACTTCACCTCAGACGCCCACACCTCAACATGTAGATCCTCCATACCCGAAATCCTAAACATCCTGAACCCTGAACTGAGGTGGCAAAGAGGAGGCGGCTCCTCTTGGCGCACCTGCAGGAGCAGATAGGTGCTTGATCTTTGTTCGGGGGGTTTGATTTTAGTTTAAGGTATTCTATACCTCAGACTGGCCATGACCTGTGCAAATTTCACAACGCCCGGAACAACACCCCGAAGTCGAGCCCTGTGGACATTGCTGTTTGGGGTTTTGGGTAGGGCTGAATGGATTTCATATGTTGGGGCCGGGGGTGTTTTGAGTCAGGGGTTTCCTGGGCACTGGAGTAGGGATTATGGTTCCAAACCAAATCTTGTGCCTCTTCTGGGTTGAGGTGGCAACCTACCTTTGAATTATGCCGGCTTGTTATTCGGTAACTATAGGCTTGTGTTTGGGAGAAGAGCGGTAAGCCAAAAACAGTGGGAATTAGAGCAGATTGTGCACATGAAAGAGATTTGCGAGTGCAAGCCTTTATATTCGTGGGATTGCTACCTCCATGCGGAAGGGAATCTAGCCCGCGTAGCAGGGCCTTTCCATGCTACAGCCGAAACCGACAGCTCTGCAGGCTTACTCATGTTAGCGCTTTCATTGCAGGGCAGGACTTTTGTACCCCTGCAAAAGCGGAAGGGTGAGAACAGCCCTGAGCTGAAAGCGCGAAATCATAAACCAGCTCACACACGCACGGATTGCTCATTCTACACTTCACCTGCCAGGAGCAAACGGCGCTGTACCTACGTTGGCAGGACCCCATTGACCGGAAATTGGCTTTCGTGAACAGTACCGGGTCTGTGGAGGCGCGGGGCGGTAGTGGCAGTGTGTTGGACGGAAACTAGAGACATAACGCCGGATTCTCAGATCGCAAGCGCAGAATCTTACCGGCACTTGGGCAGCTAAGATGGGTTGATGGACCCTGAGACACGCCAGATTTTCTGTGGCTTTCCCGGAAGGTTGCATTCCACCTTTACGAGAACGTCAGCATGATTGGTGTTGACTACTACAATGGAGCTTCAGGACAGCAGAACCTACACCCCTCTTTGTGCGACCAGGCTTGGGTGGCTCCTGGCGCATCGAAATCCAATAGTCTGGTCTGACCTACTTGCTTCCACATGTGCACCCTGTACCCAAAGCTCATCCAGCCTACGCCGGCCCTACGCCCTCAATGCCTCACAGGAAAGTCCGTCCGTTTGGATGCGGTCCTGCCGGTCACTCGTCTCTTCGCTTAGCATGGTCTGTTGTATCTGAAGGAACTCATCCTGGCTCTTTCTGGTATCTCGATCAACTGCAATGTATGGAGCTTTCTGATGGTCTCAAACAGTTTGTGGCTGCTTGAACATGTGGGCACAAGCAGCCATGGTCGGCGTTGGGTAAGACTTCACTCAGAACCCAAGGATTCGGAGTACTTCCTTGCAGAGCTGTTAGGGCTGGCCTCACAGCTCTTGGTGCCTTGGAGCATGCGAATTCAGAGTGTAAGTAAGGCCTTGGATCTATCCGCTTTAGCCTTGAAGGATTAGGGATTTGTGAAGTGTTTGGGGTATTCGGCTTCAAGGATGCCACGTCAAGACATACCTCGCAACACGTTTCATTCTCAAGGCCCATGTAATCCCCTTAGCCAAATTCAATTGTCACTTCGATTTCTCATGTCACCCACCATCTAAGCCTTACACAAGCGCATTGGAAGTATTCGTGCCGCAGCATTTTTCCGGAGGTCTATAAGAAAATGCAGACACACATGTTGGCTCTAAACCCCATAACCCTAATTCGCCTGAAGTGGAAACTTGTTCAGAGGTTGATGAGAAGGGCCGCCCCTTGTCGCAAGAGCTCGCCCAGGAGCAGCATGAGGCTGGCTTGCAGCCCTCCAAGGTCTATGATTAATGTTTTTCTATTTGCAGGGTTTTCAAGGTTCGGGTTTTTGGGTTGGAGTGTAGGGTTCGAGGTTTAAGCTCGAGGTCCAGAGGGTGTTAGATTTTGCCTGTTGAGACTGGAAGCTTCAGGGCTGGGCTGTTGATTTGCTTTTACTGCGTCTGCTCTCAACAACTTCTACTATGTCAAACTACCAACACTCCTTCTACTCCCTGTCCTGCTTCCGATCCTACAACGACAAAACCAATAGTTTTACTGCTACTAGTACTCCTCCTACTGTTGCTCCTGCAGTACTGTCCAGGCCCCTGCAAATGACGACGCCCATGCCTCTAACGTGGATGTTGTCGATCACGATAACAGTAACCACGATCACGACTCGTAAGTACCAGCACTTGTCAGCGGTGTGAGTTTCTTGTAAGCCTTGGCTCCGTTAGTGTAAGCTTGGTGCTTGCTGCCCTGTTCATCAGAGTAATCAAGAACATGCTGTTTGTTTTTTTGCTAGGAAGGCCCTTCATTCTCCTGTTCCTGAGTGTCCGTGCGACTGGCAGCTGCGAGATCATGTCCAGCCAGCCACGTACACCGTGAAATTGGGGCAGTCTTTCCAGGCAGCTGGGGATTCCCAGCATATGCTGGCAGTCGGACCAAGGGATCTGGTCCAGATCTAGGGGCCTTAGATAGTATTTTTCAGATCAAACGTTGCATCATTGCATCTTTCGTTTTCCCTTGAACCCTCAGGCATTCAAGTTACAAAGCAGCACCGTGACTTCCAGCTGTCTTGGACACAGGTGGCACGGAGTTTCGAAACTGTGCGAAAGTCACGGCTTTCCCTTGAGAGCCAGAAGCCCTGCAATAGAAGTTGTGTTTGATTTAGGCGCCGCAACCCAAATCGCAGTGACAAGCAGTTCAAGTGCGGATGGAAACCTCCCGCAGGCGCGGACCTATCTCGACACCTTTGCCGGCCTGCTTCTGGAGCGGACTTTCAGTCACTATGCCACTCTCTCATTTACTGTAATCAGGTAGTTCTCAAACAGGAAGCCCTCCCCGCATGGTGTTTATAGATGTATATCCACATGTCCCAATATTTTTCCTCTGGGGTGAGTACCACACTTGCTGCTATATACTAGTGACGTTATGATGGTGTCCCTTTGTGTTAAAGGTTCATGCCAGTGCCATTCCAAGCGAGACATGCTAGTGCTTTCGCTACAAAGGTTTGTGGTTGTCGGCAGGTGCTTGCGGCGTTGAAAATCGGTGTAGGGGTCCGCTTCGTTCGTGGAGCCCTAGCATCTTCGTTGCATGTCGAAGTTGCTAGCAGCTGGCAATTCCTCACCCTTGCAAGTGTCCAATTGTCGTCCAGGCTGCCTTGTGCCCACTGTCACAGGGATCAGGCCTTTGGCCAGGTGACCGTCACGACGTGTCACGGTGCCTAGAGTACGGGGGATCGTGACGTTGTCGCATGTCCAAAGTGCCGCCGATCTATCGGGCAGTAAGTGGTTTCGGACTCCTACATATTCACAGCATCTCAAGATTGTCGACTCGACAGTTGGGGGGTTGCAGCGTGTTGTCTCTTATGTTGGCCTCGCATTCATAACCTCCGCCTTTCTTTGATTGATCTATCTCCGTTCTGGGGGAGCCCTGGAATACTAGTGCCAAACATGTAGGTTTGAACATCTATTTAGCGTTATGTGATATTTGATTAAATCTTTGCACCGAGCAAATATCATTTTTGGGATTTTATGAATGTGGGGATTGTTATAATTGTGTTCCGGCGTCGGGATTTTATAACTGTGGGGTAGTCCTTAATGTGAGGTCAACATGAGGGTGGGAACAAAGAGGGAGGAGAGGAAGGGAGTTTAAGGAGGCGAGGGAGGAGGGAGGGAAAAGAGCAGCAGGGACAATGGGGGGACTGAGCAGGAAAGCGTCGCATACGTTTTCATGGCCTGGCTCTGTGCCACGTGACTGATTGCGTTCGGGCTTGTGAGCCTGTGTCAGGCTATGGGAAATTTCCGAGTAGGGTACGACCCTTGTGCATTATGTGCACGCACGGCATCAACTCCATGAGCTGAAGAAGGTGACCTTCGGCTCCAGATCCTAGTCATGAACTTGTCGGAGTTCAGCACGGAGTGCTGGAGTTTGGAAGTGCAGACTTGCCACGTTGAGCAAGAAGATTTGTGCTTGGTCCTGACATGAAAGCGTAGAACCTGTACTGAAAGCCCAGAAGACTTCTTGCTGTTGTTTCCTCGTCTGGAGGGTTTCCATATGCTCCCCCTGCAGCCATGTTCATCAGGGCAGTCAGGCCATGCTCCTGTCTGTAGGCATTCCCGAAATTTCGAAAAGCTGACTTGCACGCTCTTCAACCCATACTCATACTGGTAGTTTCACCAAATCTAGGCACTTCCAGGTCATCGGACACTGCACCTACCCTCCTCAGGCGTGAAGCAACATACGCCCTTGTTTGCAGTGATGAGCCCCGATCTTTGATCGAAAGCTGGCAGCCGTCCGAAGACACACAGTGGAAACCTTGGTCCTACCTCCCTGCAGGTTGCTTATCAAGCTCCCAACCCCGAACCTCGAGACTCACGTGCAAAAGTCTACACCCTAAATCCCACTACGCCCGGGCGTCCATCCGAGCCTCCAAGAACGCGTTCAGATCTTGCGCCCTGCATGTACACAGACAGGTTATTGGGAATCCATCCAAGGGTAACCATTATGCCATGGCTTTTGAAAAGCGGTGACTCACTTTTTCAGGCATCTTCATTGTTTGTTGTATTGTTTTTGGTGTTTCTTAGACTCCTTGGCCTCCTGGCGTCTTGGCTTTTTGAATTCTCAGACTCCAGAATTGGTGCACTCGGACTGCATTAATCGAGAAAGCTGCAAGGGCTGAATACTTGCAACGCGGATTCCTAGCTGATTGTCATGTTCAACATTTTTGTTGCGCGTTGGAGTGCTTGTGGGCAACATCCACCAGCGCGGAGTTATCCTGTAGGCCTTGTTCTCAGACAACTTGATGTCACTGCCGTTGCACAGCTGTCATGCGCAAGGTAGGTGTGTTAGCGTTGTTGCATTGAGTGTCAGCGGATCTCTCACGACAGGCTGTCTTAATAGCCAACGGATTTCCAAGCATTTTTGCTTTTTTTTTGGCGTCTTTATAGAAGTCCCCGGCAAAATCCCCAAAGTCTGCGGAGCAGTAGGGTTTAGGCAGTTCTGAAAGAAATCCCTGAGACAATATGATGCCAAATTCCCGGCAAATAAAGGGAAATCCACCCGTTGCAGCACTTCAATGTAAAGTCTGAAATCTTGCAGGTTCCCCTTACGGCTTCTCTTACTGGGATTGGGAGCTACTCGTTGGTGTCACGTACCAACATAATTTCAAAATGAAATAAATCTCCTAAGAGCGCCTGCAGAACACCACGAGCCGAAAGCTGTGCGAGCGCTCGATCCTACAGCCTCCTGAGAGTCGTGAACAGATTTTGCAACAAAAGTTGAGATTCCAATGGAAAACGCAGATTTTGTACATGGTGTTCAATCGGGAGACGGCTGGTCGAAAGGGTGGAACCCAACCGTTTCCGTCTTGCCAGCTGTGGGCACTATTTTGAATCCGGACATGGAGTCCTGTATGATAGCACAAAGGAAACTGTTCGTCCAGAACTTTCTGGCGAATACACTTCAATCTCTCTGAGAACTTGCAGGAGCTGCAGCAGAACACTTCCGAGGTGCCGGACGCAGGTCCCGAAAGGCTTCTGAGCTACAAGCACCCCTCCCCTTGGTGTTCGACACCTTGCTGGCCTTAACATCCTGTATTCAGCTAGAGCGGTTCAAATACTGGCAGACGTGTTGGACATTTAGTATCAGGGGAGGGCAGTATGATAGAAGCCTGATGTCTCTGAGCACCTTGGGATATCTTCCCTTGAGGTACAGTGTATTTCACGAACCCCATAGCACCCTCCGGCAAAATTGAAAACACAAATAGCGTAGAACAAGAGAAGGTGTATTATGTATGGCGGCAGGAGTTTTCTTCTTTGGGACAGTGTGTAGATTCAGAATATTCATCAGGCATTCAGATCAGGTCTTTTTTCTCAGGAGGGAGCCTCGCCAATATTTTCGCGACGACAACTACCAGGATGGCTGTTATTGCCAGGTGCTTCCCGTCACCATTAGGTCATACCAATTACCACCAGTTTTTTGCTGGACACTGCAGGCGATACTACCAGATAGCCCGGGTCCTCTAGGAGCTACTTCAATACTCGCACAGTTGTACTACTTTCGAAGGGTAGAAGAAGCGGTAGCAGTAGTTGTAGGGCAGTAGGAGGAGGGTTTTGTCTGGCTGACCAGGACCCATGGTAGTTGTTTTGGTTGCGGCGGTGGCCGTGGGGGTGGTTGATTGGTCATGGCAGCTATGGTGGCCGTGGCAGTAGCAGTAGCGGTAGTGGTGGACGTGGCAGCGGCAGTAGCAAGATGGCAGCAGTCATGCAGGTGACCACAACATGACAATCATCAGGATCAACATGTCGAGGTTGTAGTACTTCATTTGATTTCTTCCTTCTGGCCTCGTTCCTTGTACTGGTAAGCGGCTTCTGGTATTTAAAGCTGGGCTGAAAACTGCTCAGGTTGCCTTTGGAAGATGACTTCAAGCTAGCGGTGGAGAAGGACATGGAGGCATCCAAGGCCGGCCAGGGCCTGTCAGCATAGAGATCTTTTTGTTGACGCTTTCTGTTCGAGCCCCTACCTACCATGCAACGGTTCAGTTTCTAGCCAGCTTGAGCCCGCAGAACCGGCATCACCGATGCCATGACATCATGAGTTGTACTTCAGCGACCCTCAAACCTGCCAGGTGTCTCCAAACACTCCTCCCATGCTCCTGGTGGTTGCTGGGTCGTGGTTGGAAATGGTTTTTCATTTTCCAATTTCTGGGAATATCATGTTTTCATAGACAGGAAACAGGCAGCTTTTTAACCAATTTAGCATATGTTCAATACAATTCCCGAATGTGGCACAAGAAATGCCCCAGAACGACCCAGGTTGGAGTATCTTGTTTCGTGGTGGGCACCGTCGGCAGCTGAGAGTTCCCAATATGATGACCAAGCTAGCTCTGTATTTTTTAGGGTTTAGGGTTTAGGGTTTAGGGTTTAGGGTTTAGGGTATGCGCTCACTACTCTGGAGATCCTCAACAATCCCGAGAAGGATGCATTCTTGTTTTATCATGCTCTGCAGCCAGGAGGTCCCAATCGGCCTTAGCATGTTGAAAGGTTGAGGAGACCGCAAAATGATACACATTTGTATAAATATGTTTTGCTGATGTGTTTTGATCTACTGCACCCTAGAGACATAGCATACATATCTTAGATAATGTCACTTCGATTTGCGCCCCGCCCTCCTTAGACATGTCTAAGACTGGAGCTACCTTAGGTCTTGCTGGCCGCGTGAGGAGCCCAGCTGTTGCTGCGAGATTTTTGGGGAATATTTTGAAGCCCCTTCTCTGGGTTAGGCACCTCAGCCACCAATAGTGACGGCAAGGGCTAAGGGTCATTACGCTCGGGTCCCTCCACGTTCGTGTTGTACCAGCATTGCTGGGCAAAAGTCAAACCCAACCTGCTCATGACGCATTTAGAAGCCCACTACCTTTTGAGAGTATCAGTATACGTTAGCTTCAGGCAGCCATGATGGGACCCCTGCAGTACGTAAAACGGAGTATTTCCATGATGGCAGTCTGGGGCTGGGGTGGGATGTTTTCTTCTCCGTTAGTCAGGCACAGGTTTGCAGTTGCCAGGTGTGGAGACGTGTCTTAGACCTTGATTAAACCGGGCCCAGGGCAGGCAAATTTTCTGGCGACTCAAACAAGAAGGGAAGGATATGAATATATACCCTATTCTATTATAGTAGTTTCCATTTTATTTTCCATTATCCCTATATAAACCCAATATAACCCCAACTTCCCTTAACCCTTGACTCAGCCCGATGCCTCAACCTTGGTCAAAGTGCGTAGTTTTTCCAGGCTGGGCCCAGCACCAGATCGCTGGCCCTTTGCGCGGTTCTGGCAAAGCTTGGGACGCATTGTCCCGGGCTGAGGATGGGGCGTGTCAAAACTGTAGGGAATCTAGTGAGGCATCTAATGTGCATGGCCCCCCCATGGTACAGTTCCCAGAAGGAGCCAGGTGAACGCAAAGCCAGCCACGCTACCAGGAGAAAGGGGCAACATCTGAATGATTTCAGCAAGAGATATCTCACTTACCTTACTGAAGGAAGACACCCACCTATACCGCAAGGGGGAGGGCAAACGATCTGAATGTCTTCAACGACAATTGATGACAGTTATGGAAGAAGGAAGGCGACCATCCAGACACCGGGGGGGGGAGGAAGATCTGAATGACGTCAGCAAAATGGCTGACAGTTCTAGGAGAATAAAAGGCCACCACACCACAGTGGTAGGGGAGTGGGGTTTGTCACCCTGGATCAAAATGTGTTGGATGCTGGAGTTGAAGAGTGAATCTATGTCCGTTCTGCCTTGCCGCCAAAACTGCAAGCTCTGCGTTTTAGGTGCAAATGGGCTGCACGTGTGTTAGATTTGGTTTTGCTGCAGCTGCACAGGATTCTCCAGGTGTTTTGATGGATTTGAGGAGCAAATAGGACTGCATGTGAGCTGTAGTTTAAACTCCATAAAGGGGGGTTATATACGGGATTATATGGGGGAGTATTCGGGGCTTATTCAGGCGGATACCAGGAGTTTAGACTGTAGCTCCTGTGCTGAGGTCTTGCTCCTGACGCGTATCATGGATCGGATGATGAGGACGGGTTCTTGGCAAACACGAAGGACGACTGGTCTTCACCCAGGTGCTTATATTGTATGGAGCTTACTGAAAAGAAGCCCACTCTAATACTCACAAAGGGAATTCTTGTTGTTTCTGCATCTTCGCCGTATATATAGACACTTGTTTATACGTCCAGACTTGGGGCGTTCCGAACTTGAGGAAGTTCCACATAAGAAGGAACGAACGAGCACATTGCAGGGAGGAGGATCGGAGACTCGAGAGTGGTTCGCCCTTCCTGTAGCCGAGCGGTCAACGTTTCTAGTTTTTTGGACTCCCGAGTTTTATAAATTAAGTTTGCATGATTTTGTTTACCTTGCGATTGTAAGGATAGCGTGACTGCTCACGTGCTGGCCGTTTGTAGCAACACAAGTCCACATCTAGACCTGAAGAGACTTGCACAATTCGCTTCTGAGGGTTCCAAACACGCTTTAAATCTGAAGCTGTGAGCCCTAAACCCTAGCCCTAAACCCTAAACCCTAAACCCTACCCTAAACCCTGAACCCTAAATCCTAGCCCTAAGCCTTGCCTGAACCAACTTCAGCGAGGCCTGTCCGGCCAGATCCAACGCATCCGCCGGCACATGGCAGGGCTCCAGAGGTGATTCTGGGAGGGTTGGGGTCACCGGAATCTTGTAGTAGTGGTGAGGGATTTCTGTAATTTCGGAACCTTTTCCTTGGGCACCTTTTACGTGGCCTCGAACTTGTGAAATGGAGTCATAAGGTTTGGCTACGAGTCAATAGAGCGGCGTTGTAGTTCAAGAAATGCGACAAGGTCTCGTGGCTTAAAAGGTGGGAGTTCTGGAGAACTTGTCATGTGACCTGTCCTTGAATTTGAGGAGCGGGGACGGGTGGGAGGCGCGAGCTTCTGGACCTGCATCCTACCAGATGTTCTGGGTTTTCTTCTCTGTTTTGGAAGTGTTCATTACGAATACAGAACGCAAAATGCCGTCTACTTCCCCTCTCTCTGCAGCTGTAGTGCCGCAAATCACAGCCGCTATCATGAAGAGCGGACGGGGGCATGTTTTAAGGGTCCGGCTGGGAATGCAGGCTCCTTTGGGCTTGAGTTTTCAGAAGGCTCCATTGACCAAAGTGGAGTAGCAAATGTCGGCCACCATGCTGAACTGCACTCCAAGCCTCAGGTCCGAGGCCCTCAGCCAAACAAAAGCCATGCCCGCGGTGTTGATTGGCTGTGTCGGCAGGTGCGGGCAGCGCATGACCCCAATGCCGATAATGGCTAAAAGTTGACCGCTCGTGTTGTGCTGGCAAGGTGGAGTTGGAATTCTACAAGTTAGTCACCCAACATTGAGGCCGCATCCTCAAACCACATGTAAACTCCAATAACCCTTCGTTGCAACAGTATCCTTAGTGGGGCTTGATTGTGTTGGCATTAAATTCCTACGCCCTGGATCCCAAAGAAACAGCTCAAAAGCACAATGTTGCGTAGGCTTCCACGAGGGTGCAGGGATTGGAAGAGGGTCGGCTTCCTGCATTGTTGCATGTTGTTGGAGCGGATCGTGGATTACAGTCATGTCTGTTTGTGACTTCCATGTCGTTGATACTTGAACCCCTTGCCCGGAGCACTGCGGGCGGAAAGCACCTTTCTAAGTATGGCTCCAGATGCTCATGAACCACGTTCTTTCAGTTGTTGATTAGTGTTGATCGAGCCATGCTGGAATTCTCGGGATTGTTGTTGTTCTTGTTGCTGTTATTGTTTATTTTTGCCTGATTTGCTATAGCTGGTGCCGTTGGCCCAAAAGGGATCGCTTCAGAAGCGGCCACTCTGTGACTGAACCTCTATTTCTTTCGTGCTGCGCGGCTGGCCTCACAGCGCAGCGTGCGGCGCCCGGCAACTGAGAGCTGAACCTGAAGTCTGTTTCTTCGAGCTTCCGCAGCGTAGAGATCTTAAATGTCTGCCACACGGGCAAGGTACTACCTGGTCAAGGAGATGTGGCTTTGTTTGCGGTGCGTTTTATTTTTGTGATAATCTTCTTCCAGCAGAAAGCGGGGACAAAAAGGAAAGCATATGGAAAGCACTGCAAAATGCGAACACCAACAGCAGTTGAACTAAGGGTAGTACCACTTTGCGATATCTTGTGTTTACCATCTTGCAAGAGGTGCTGAAATGGTGTGATGCACTTTCTGGGGGTGCCACACCTAGCTAGACGGAAAAAGAATTCAGATTTCCAAGTGAACAAAGTCACGAATCTGACCGCCAAAGGAAATGGGAGCTTCTTGAAATCAGCCCTCACATCCTCCTTAAGGTAACTCACCTTGTCCCTTGCATTACCTACATACTACTCGGGTCCCAGGGCCCCTTGCCTCTAGAAACTGTCATGTTTGTACTCGTTTTCTTTTCTTGGTATGGAGTTTTCGCTGGCTGGTTATCACACGGATTCCGCGTGGATGCTCATCAGAACTATTGACCATAAAGACTCCAATTAGCATGGAGAATTGCATGGAAACTATCGTATGGTGCAATGTATCATTCACCGGGTGTTGACCCCAACTAGCAGCAGTGAGATATTGAAATTATTCTCAGTATTCTTATTATTCCCCACATACCTGTAGGGTTCTAGTTGTTTAGATGTGCCGTCGCCCGGCATGCCTGCATGCTCTTCCGTCGCGCAAACATTTTGGACGCGCCGTTGTTCGCTTCAAAATTGAGGTCTCGCTCGGAGCATCCTCAAAAAATCGGCGTTCTATGTTGATTTTCGGTCCAAAAAAAGTGGCTTTGCCTTTAAAGTAGTCTTGGTAGAGGGGTCCCGTACCGAACTGTTCGCGCCCCTGTTTGAGCAACATTGCGCTCCCGTGCAGGACATCTTCAAAATTCCAGGCTTTGCTTGCTCATAAATTACTCCAAAACTGCGCTCCCGTTGGTGACAGTCGCGTTTTTTGCGTTGTGATGGTCTTGATATCTTCAAAAATCGCGCTCCCGTGCGGAGCATCCTCGAAATTTCGTCGATTTATCATCATCAGATTGATCAAAATGACGCTCCCGTGCGGAGCACTCGGAAAATTTGGATCATTTACGATGATGTCGAGGGTTTCTATATCAATTCTATACCAAACGAGTCCCGGTGTTCTTCGTTCGTGGTGGTTCTCTGGGTTCAAGACAAGAGGAGGGTATTTAGCGGAGGGCTCCGGTTTTGCTTTGGTATAGGATTTGTCCACCTCGTCGTTCCAAATCTGAGCGCTGACCGGATGGATCCTATACTTCTTCTATACTGAACTGCTCCGCTGAAGCTCGTCTTGTTGGTCCCAATTTTGAAGAAAATTGCGCTCCCGTGCGGAGCATCCTGAAAATTCGGATGAACATTGCGCTTCTGCGGAGCATCCTGACAATTTGCAGAAAACCGCGCTCCCATGCGGAGCATTTTTAAAAAGTCATCGATGTTAAATCCAAAATTGCGCTCCCGCGCGGAGCATCCTCGAGATTCTGTCGACTTTTCATTACATATGTATGAATATACATACATACATGCATACATACATGCATACATACATGCATACATACATACATACCTACCTACCTACATACATACATACATACATACACACACACATACTTTTATGTCTAGACAGAAAGACTCAACCGTGAAAGCGGAGAATTTGAAGGGTAAGGGGCAAACACTTTAAGGAACCAAGCTACCCAAAACTGTTTTTGTAAAAACAATGTTGTGGTAGTCTGGATTCTTAGGGTTGTGTCTGGTGAGAGGTGACATTGTTCAGTAAAGTGATGAAATGATATTGCGCAACCAACAGATGTTGACGTGGAATTGTGTTCTGTCTCAACAGGCACAACCCTAAGAATCTAGGCTACCAAAACCCTTCGAAGTCTCCGCTTTCACGGAGACTGTTTGCCCCTCATCCTTCAAATTCTCCGCTCTTACGATTAGACTGTTTGCCTCTTGCTCTTCAAATTCTCAGCTTTTGCGGTTAGACTGTTTGCCCCTTACCCTTCAAACTCTCCGCTTTTACGTTTAAACTGTTTGCCCCTCACCCTTCAAATTCTCGGCTTTTACGGTTAGACTGTTTGCCTCTTGCTCTTCAAATTCTCAGCTTTTGTGGTTAGACTGTTTGCCCCTTACCCTTCAAATTCTCCGCTTTTACGGTTCGACTATTTCCCTCTTGCTGTTCAAGATTCTCCGCTTTTACGGTCAGACTGGTTGCCCCTTTCCCCTTACCCTTCAAATTCTCCGCTTTTACGGTTAGACTGTTTGTCCCTTGCCCTTCACACACCTTCACGTCTCAACTCGCAAGGGGTCTTTCCCTAAGTTTTTTTCAGAGAATCAAGTCCACAAATCTCAAATCGCAAGCAACGTCTTCCTAAGATTTTTTTTCGTGAATCATCTTCCCAAATCTCAAATCGCAAGGGGTGTCCCCTTAAGATTGTTTTCCGGAAATCAAGTCCCCAAATATCAAATCGCAAGGGGTGTCCCCTTAAGATGATTTTCAGGAAATCAAGTCCCCAAATCTCAAATCGCAAGGGGTGTCCCACCAAGATTTTTCAGATAATTAAGTCACCAAATCTCAAATCGCAAGGGGTGTCCCCCTAAGATTTTTCAGATAATCAAGTCCCCAAATCTCAAATCGCAAGGGTGTCACCCTAAGATTTTTCAGATAATCAAGTCCCCAAATCTCAATGAGATTTTTTCGGGAATCATCTTTCCAAATCTTAAATCGCAAGGGGTGTTCAGAGAATCAAGTCCCCAAATCTCAAATCGCAAGGGGCGCCCCTCGAAGACTTTTCAGCGAATCATTTTCCCAGTTATCGTCTCGTCTTCTTGTTCTTTCTTTATTTCGGCGGGCGACGGCATCCTCATATTATCTCACTTAGATTCAGGTTAAACAACACATGTGGGGTTTTCCGGTCCTTTAATTCTATCGTGAAATCCTAAAGCCAACGTCGCACTCTCAAGCCTTGTGCCCAAATCCATATAAGCTATAGTCTAAACTCCCTAAAGGGGGGTTATATAGGGGATTATATAGGGGACGATTATAGAGGTTATTAAGGGGGATACTAGGAGTTTAGACAATGGCTCATATGACGACTTTCCGAAGTTGAGGTCCTGAGCTCGTATCAAAGAACTCTAGGGGCCGCCTTGACAAGTTATATAGGGGCTATATAGGGATAATGGAAAAGAAATTGGAAACCCTAGGTCCCTTTAAAGGGATATATAGGGGTTATATAGGGATATATAGGGATAATGGAAAAGAAAATGGAAACTACTATAGGGATTATAGAGGGTTGTTAGGGGTTATATATGTATCCAAAATCGGCTCCCCATTTCAACAAGAGCCCACAAGCCCACAGATCCTCTTTCCCGATGACTTGGACAAGGTCTCCATTTGAGAGAAACCTTGCACCTGTAGCCCGCAGCGCAGATGGCGGGCCAGGACTGGTATAGAGGTGTTAAGAGGTTTGGGGTTATTGCAAGTTCTCAATGGGTTGCTAAGCGGTTTGACAGAATAGCAATAGGGGTTTTTACACTTTACAAGGATAGGGATCTACAGGGAATCATCGATTTGGACAGTGGCGGGTAGCATGTGGAGTATTTGCCCTGCTAGGGGTTGGAGCTTTGGGTTGGATTTTCAGGTGTGGGATTCAGGTTGGGGATGTTAATGTATGGGTTAGACACTTGGGGCTCACGGGGGAAGTACGGCAAATTCCCGGTCGCCTGAAAAAATGAGGAATCTTGGGAGGCTTTGGGGGGTTAATAGTTCTTACCTGCCCCACTAACAGGTCCGCCTGCACTTTCGGATGCCAACTCTGATCCACCATACTCAAATAGCCCTTCCTATTCGGGACCAGGGATCTAGAATGTTGAGACCCTGAGAAAAAGAAATTAAGACCTTTCGGTAGTTGAAGCTTGAGTTTGTCATCTTGTAGATTTTCTTCATAAAGTCTTTTGCTGCAAAGGCCAAGGGCCCAGCTATCCCTTAGTGTGGAATCTGAAGGGTTCGTCAGCATATCCCACTTGAGAAACCTTCGACAGAAGTCAAAAGCGGACTAGAGCTGTATGGGTCGTGAACAGGGTGGTCACAAGCTGTACATTCGTAGATACAAGCCCACCTGTTGAACTGATAACTCCTCTATT